GCCGGCATGGTCGGCGGCGCTTGGTTGCTGTCCAAGACGTATCCTGCCTTCGCTCCGGCCACGAATGTTACCATCGACCCGCTCACTGCTGGCATTGGCGGTTTCCTCATGATTATTGGCTCGCGCATGGCGGGTGGCTGCACTTCCGGCCATGGCATTAGTGGCATTTCGCTGCTGTCGACGAGCAGCTTCATCACCATCGGTGCCGCCTTTGCCTGGGGCGGTGTCCTGGGCATGCTCACTGGCTAATTATTTTCTGGCCTCTATATTTCTTTCACTCATGATTCATGACTTGCATCCCCCTCATATCATCTCATCTCATCATACCCAGATCATACCCATACCCAGGACACAGAAGAAGAGAAGGGGAAACCTCACGGTTAGAATGTCCGGCGTCCATTCACGCACGCACGCCCAACCATCCGGGCTGCATTAGTACTGCTTCTTCAATGTACATTTTTATACATACAGTACGGGTACCGTTGTGTTGTATTATATTATATTTTCCGCAGCCTTAGTTCCCGCAAAATACAACCTACCAACCGATCCCGATTTGGATTTGGTACAAACCCCCCAGCCTGAGACATGCGCCTGTCATGCACGCTTCCGAATCCCCACACGCCCGCATTTCTGCCGTCCCGGACGGCGGTCCAAGTCACGAGACTGCGCATTCATTGGGGATTTTGGGGTTGGAGATGGCGAGTGTTGCGACGGCGGCTCGGCTGGGGTTGGGGCTTGTTGTTCATTTGAGGAGGAGAATGCCAATGGGGAGGAATGGATTGAGATGTTGGGGACTGAACAAGTTGGAGTTGTGGTTGGTGTTTCATGCCCAAGCGCGCTGCGATCCGCTCGAGTCCGCTCCGCTCCGAATGGGGGCGGGCGGTGGTTAGTGGTTTGCGATGGGTTGGAATGGGTACACAGGCTGCAACCTCACAACCAACCACGTATCTGAAGTTGCGGGCGCTGTAGGGGAGTGTTATCGCGGAGCAGGAAACTTGTTGGGTATTTATTTGGAGGAAAGGGGGGTGGATGCCTTTGGCTTTGCCGCGCTGTTGGCTATGCTGTGCGACGTTGTCAGTGGAGAGCAAACATTTGTGTAAGTGATCCTTCGGGCCAAGACCGGGCCCCTATTGTCGGCCACTTGAGAGGAAGTGCCGCAGTAGGTAAGCAGCAGAATGAGGTTTTGATCCGGGTGATGCTGCAATGGTCTTCCTTTTACTTTCACAAATGTAATCTCACCCTCAACTCCTCTGCCTTTTCGACAATTGGCCTCAACTCCACACCCTCTCTTCACCCCCCTAAATCAACACAACCTCCACCCCTCCCTCTCCCTCCCCCTCCCCCTCTACCTTCCCGCTCACAGAAGGTACCCTCCGCCTCGCCGTAACCTCAACCTCAATCTTCATCTCCTCCTCCATCAACCCCGCCTGAATCATCGTCGCCGCCGGCCGCACATCCCCCAGCCACTTCTGCAGTATCGGCCAAGTCTCCAGGAAGTCGTTCCGATCCGGCAGGATGTACCGCACGCGCACGACATCCTTCATGGATGCGCCCGCGGCGGCGAGGGCGGAGGCAATGTTTTGGAAGGTTTGTTCTGTTTGGGCGGTGATGGAGGGGGCGAGGGTGGATGTTTTGTAGTCGTAGCTGTGATGTGTGAAAGCTCTTATCTGAGATGCAGGGTGGGCAGTGGGTTGCTGCAAGTGTAAGTGCAAGTGAGTGTTTTGGTGTGACTTGACATGTCCGGTTGAGACTCACCCCGTGCAGCCGGATACAAAGATGAACTCGCCGCTGACAACGGCGCGGGAGTAGCCTATTTTTGCCTCGAATGGGGAGCCGGAGCTGATGAGGGTGCGGGAGGCCATGTTGGCGATTCGGTCAGGGGTTGTTGATGGTTGAAGTGAGAAAAGGGGTCAATGGGATAACTGTGGCCTTGGTCGTCCGCTTATGTTCTTGAGATCTTACGTTCTCATGTTTTCATCTCCTTGCATATGAGTCAACGCTGCTTATCTTCAACCAAGAGCCTCGATGTTACCCCATTGGAGCTCGAGCTGTCATCGAAGGGCGTAACCCTAACCCTGTTTCTGAGAATACCCCTTTTCCTTTCACCTGACGGTTCAACCCGAGCAATCTCTTAAATGAGGCTTCCTCGAAGAGCTGCAGCATCGAACTCTCTGACCGACGGTTATGGATTCTGTAATTTCCCATGACTCCAAGACCGGCCCGCTCCCAGGCGCCGTCCACGGTTGCTGATTTTCGAAGAACCAAAAAGAATATGTGCCCATCGTACTCAAGAATACCTCTCCGCTGAACAAAGTCGTCTCCTCTGGGGGGTTCTCCGCACTGAACAAGCAGAAGGGCGATGTGTTCGCCGTCTGGAACCCATTTCCCCGCTTTGCAACGATGCTCCCACCGAGGACGGTGCTCTGGGAAAATCCTACTAGGTTCGGCTTCCCAATCAGTCCAACAGCGGACATCTGCAAGGTTTGTGACCTCAGGCTCTCTGGGGGTGTCGTAGTTGATGAATTCTCTTGCCCCAGTGCTAGCCCACACATATGTATGTGTTGGGCCTCTGAAGTCTTGGAACTCATTATGCCGGAGAAAGCTGGGAGGGGGACCGTTTTTCTCGATGTAGTCGTCGGTTTGGTACGGATTCACCGTCGTCACTACCTTTACAGGCACCGCCAGGCCCTTCAGTGTGAGTTCTAAATTGGTTGATGCCACAGCAGAGCCGATATTGGCAGAGAATACGCCCGTTTTGCCGTGAAGGACTTCGACATGCACCTTCCTGAGTTCCCCAGAAGCCAGATTTGCGTACTGCACGGGACCGCCAACTGAGATCCAAGACCAAGATGGGGCAAGTGAATGGACCGGTCGAGAAGTTCTTGGATGGATGATCACCCAAAGAAGGTGCTGTAGCAGCTTCCCTCTGAACAAACCAGCGAAATAAGCGGTGTCTTCTCCTTCGGGGATCGTAGCTTGGACCATTTGTGCCAGTCCGGCCACGGCCATGGGCTTATCTGAGGAGACCGTAAGGGCCCGCGCCGTGTATTGCCGGACAATTTCCATCCAGCCATCCAACACCAAATCCCTTTGCCACGGCTTGGAATATGTTTCGCCTAGCTTCAGCCCTCTCAAGAACAAGGTTTTCGTCATGTACTCCCTGACGTATTTGTGTCTTTATTATATGCAATTCGAGGATCTCGGATGTGCCCACACTCGCAGAACACTCGAGTGTTGCACTCCCAACTTAGCTCATATCCATTGAAGTGGATGATTCTGCTTGGGAGAATTGTCTCTTGCAGTGTCCAACCACGAGTATCGAGAGGCAAGGGTGGCGGCGGCATAGTTCTACCGCGCTCGTCTTCACTTCTCAAGCTCAGCAGGAGCATTCTTTCAGGGTCCGTATTGGGATGCTTCCGGGCGAAGGAAGTGCGGAACTCGCGTTGCCAGGGTGCGTTACCAAGCTCTTGCTGCCCAAGGAAGCTCTCCTTGCAGGATTTGGTGTGATGAGCCGCAATCGTTATGTAGGAATTGGAGTACACGTCGTGCATTCGACCCGACTCCCGCTTCCAGTCTTCCGGGTCGTTCTGGATGATGCAAAGGGAGTCCACCCACAAGTAGCGCAAGTTTAGGCCCTGGCAAACCGCCGCGGCGTCTTGTATTGCATTCGGGAGCGCGGATAGCGGTAGCCCCAGCTGGTGTGCCCCGATGTTTTCCTTCGAGGTGACGACAACTCCTCTCAGATCTGCCCCCCAGCAGTAGCTCAAACAGGCGTATGGGCTTGACCTGCGGCCAATCGCACACGATAGCACCACCACCCCGTCTTTCATTGAAGCCAGGTCGAGAACTCTGGTTGGGAAGAACTCCCTGTGCGTTGTTCTGCACTCCTCGTGATTTTCAACGCAGTCTTTGAGCTACGCTGCTATCCGTCGGAACGCCTCTCCTGACCTAGAATGAGACACTACCGCGAGACGGGACGTGATAGGCCTGCTCAATGTTGGCGTTTGGAACTTTGCAAGTGGGTCATCTGCACGCAACGCAACGTAGGTTAGTTTCACTTATAGCGAGGTGGCTGCGCCATTCTGGTGTGAGCTCACTGGTGACGTAGTTGATCCCTATGCAAGGGCGACCCTCTAAGGATAGGAACTGGACTCTGAAATCGGAATCTTCAAAATCTCTGTATGGACGGATCATGGGGTCAACTTCGTGGTACGAGTCGACCCATCCTGGTGATAAGGCATCTCCAGCATCGAGCAATGTGGCGCAAGTCTCACACCCTGCTTCTCGAGAAGCCCTGATTCGAGAGAGCTGAACTGCTTCTCTCTCTATACGACGCCTTGGGCAATTTTTAGATTAGTTTTCTTTGAACTCTGGGCCTCTCGCGTACCTTTTTGCAAGCCAATCCCCAAATGTTTCCGTCTGTAAACTACGGGCAACCAAAGGGTCGTAGGCCTCACACCCGCGGTAGCGATCCCCGTGTTGGGCGGAAACAAGCGCGTTGCTCATTTGTAGTCCCAAATGCCGTGTAATCAAAGAGATTAATGGAGGAGAGGAATTGATGGAACATGACGCGAAGTTGCGGTGATGGTAACGGGAAGTTCGCAAGGCTGCCACCAGATGGCGGGGGCATATCAGCTTGCTCAACCATTGGCAACAACGGAAGCTGCAAATGCACCAGCCAGGCCAACTTCCTACCCTCAGCATGAGCGTTCAGGTTCTCCTCCAATAAGCTTCTCCTTCCTGCACCCTTCAGAGTGTCGCGACACACCCGGATTCTGACATTGCTCCCCAATCTCGACAAATAAAACCCGAAAGGCATTGGGTCTCAATCGCGTTCAAGGCCTCAGGCCAGCAGGCAGCGAAAACAGGAGCAAGAGTACCTACCTACCTCACCGAGAACCTTCACCACCTCACCACCAACTCCACCCACAAAAAACAACCTCCCCACCAGAAAAAAAAAACGCAAAAAGAGAAGAACCCACCTGATTCGACTTCTAGAACTCCCCCAGTTAGGATCGAACTAACAACCTCCAGATGCCGTTTTTCCTCCTGTCTCAGAAGAGAAGTAACAGTCTGACGCGCTAGCCAGTTGCGCCATGGGGGACGAACTTGTTGATGTCCGGACGATGAGATATTCCGTTCATATACGGAGGAAGGCACGGAGGAGGCCGGCGAAGAGGGAACAATGCGGGTTTTTCCTTCTTCTGGTTCCTTCCTAGGGGCTGAAAGGTCCAGAGCGGCGTCAAGAAGGGGGAAGAGCATATCATTTCTCTCCCTACGAAGCTCGAGGCAGATCAGCATTCGGTACGCCGAAAGATGAAGATGTGTCTATACGCAATTCACAAGAATTAGAAAGGATCATTTCTGGAACCCCTATTCCTCCCAACATGAAGCGCCCCTGTCAAGGACCGTTCTATTCGATATCCCAAATCTCCCCGCTCGATCTATCCTCGCGCACATCTCGCATCAAGAAAGCTCTGCGTATATTCCAAAATATTTACGAAACAAACCTGGAAGCCACTAAGCTTCAGCACCAACTCCAACACCTCATCAAGGGGTGGACCAGACCCAGACCAGACTCACAACCCCACAAAACAAGACCCTAAAAGGAGACAAAAAGGGGTAGAAACAAAACAAAAACATACAACACCAGGGATTCGCTGGTCGTCACCGACCCAACTACTAGTCTGGCCCTCACTGGTTTATCGATGGGAGAGCGGACGGGATCCCGAGTTCTCCAATGGGTATGGTCGTATGTGTCAAGCCCATCCCTTCAGCCTCCTTATCACCAACCCCCGGCTAGCCAACGCCATTATCCCTCGCCGTTATCCCTCACCAGCGTCTCTAATCCACCGACTTATCATCCCTCGGTGGCGCTGAATCGTTACCCTCCCCGGGCCATCCAAGTAGTATCGCCGGCCGCGCTCCCTCTGATTCCTCCTCCGCATCCGATACCCTCGACGCCTGCGGCGCCTGCTCTATCCGCCGCACCTGCCCTCCCTCCTGCCCATTTCCATACACCTGCCCACCCCCATGTCCCCTCATCATCTCAATCATTGCCCTCGCCCTCTCAGCCTGCAACCTCCCATCCAACTCCACCCTCTCCTCCATCGCCCTCCGCATCTCCTCCTCAACACTCCTCGCATGCGCCAGCTCCTCCGCCCGCCCCTCCTGCTGCCTCGCCATCTGATCAACCTCATACCGCGTCTGCAGCGCCAGCCGTCTCCCCAGCGCCTCGCCAGCCTGCTGCTCGACCTCCCCGCTCGCTACGAGCCGTTGCTTCGCGATCTGCTCTAGATGTCCCAGCTCAGATTCTTGCTTCTTGCTCAAGTAGCTGCACTCTAGCCCCTGGATCTTCGACACGCGATCTACATCGTGGAACGTCTGCATCTCCAGACGCTTACCCAGGGCTTCACGGGCTCGCTCTTCGGCAAGGAGGTGCTGGTCTGAGACTTGTTGGTTGTGTGCTAGTTCGGACCTTTGGCGCTTGTGCAGGTAGGTGTGCTCTAGGTCTTGGACTTTGGCTACGCGGTTGACGTCGTGGATTGTTTGGAGGGTTAGGCGCTCGTCTAGGGCTTGCGTGGCTTGTTTTTGAGATTTGCCGTCGGCGATGAGGCGCTGGTCTGAGAGTTGTTGGTTGTGTGATAGTTCTTTCTTTTGTTTCTTGTCGAGGTAGGTGTATTCCAAATCCTGGACCTTTGCTACGCGGCTGACTTCGTGCCTAGTCTGCATTTCCCACCGCCGGTTCAGTGCCTGCGTAGCTTGCTCTTGAGCCTTGCCATCAGCTACAAGCTTCTGCGTCGAGGCCTGCTGCAGATGCCCCAGCTCTTGCTTCTGCCTCCTGCCCACGTGATCGTACTCCAGCTCCTGCAGTCTCGACACACGATGCACATCATGTTCCGTCTGCAGGGCCAATCGCCTGTCCAGCGACTGGATTGCCAGTCCCTCGGACCTCTTCTGGGCTCCGAACCTCTGGTCAGATAACTCCTTGTCGTGATGCAGCAGTTGTCTCTGAGACGTGCCCTCCATGGCTGTCAGCGCAGCTTTGTGCTCGCGCTGGGTCCGCAGGCTTATGTTCTCCTGTTGGTGTCCCAGCTCAAACCGCGCCTTTTCGCCCCTGAGTTCTCGCTCTTGTTTTGTATCCATGAAGGCAAGATCTTTGCGGTTTATCTCGTCCTGATAGATTGATCAGCAACCAACAAGAAAAAGAAAGGAGATACTGCGATAAACTTACCTTAAGCCGCAACTGCTGAGCCGTCGCCTCCGCAAGTCCTGCTGCTGCTTCCAATCCGTCTGCTTCTGCTCCTTGAAAGCCTCTTCCAAGTCCCTTGGAAGCCCCACGGCACCCAGGGGCTGGGCACCAAAAGGGGCAAAGTAGCGGTCCGCAAACTGGTGTGATTTAAGGAGACGGATAAGAGACGCCTTCTCTTCAGGAGGCTTTTGCGTACAAAGTCGAGCGACATACTGCGTCGGCGAGTAGCATAGATTCCTTTCAGGATCGGTATAGAGATAGTGCTCGTCGCGGTTGTTGTCCCGCCGCAGCTGAGAGACGTGGAGGAGCGCGTTGAGGATTGCCGGAGCGGACACCGGGTTGTCGATGGCGATGTGAACGATGGACTTCCCGTGGATGGAGCGCCAATTGTGATCAAGCAACGGAGTGAGCTCCCGCATAGCTGGCTCAATACGGCTTTCCCATTTCTGGCCAGAACCGCGGGCGGCGAAGCACAACTCTGCGAGAGGCGGTCGCCCGTCAAAGATGGGGCAGGGGTGTTGTGTATCATGGCGATTGGCCTTGAGGAGTCCTATGCAGGCGGTGTCGAGGTCGCTGGCTGCGATGTGAAGACTCCCGTCGTCGACTTTGGCGCCTGCTTTGATGAGTGCTGTCATGGCCTCGGTGTTGCCTTTGGCTGTTGCGTAGCAAAGGGGCGTCAGGCCGACTGAGTCTGGGACCTGAAGGTCGGATTCCGCGTGGTCTGTGAGTTGACGCAAAAGATTGCCCCCTCCATATGGGAATCGCTCTATGGCGAGGCGCAGGAGAGACGGGTCTTGGATCCCGATAGCCCCTGACTGCTGAAGGCATTGACCAATCCACTCGACTAACTTTCTCTCATCATCCATGGAATTGATAAAAGCACGAATAACAACATCAGGATCAAACGGGTTTGCCGTAAGCTGCTCAAAGTAAGCAACATCGTTTTTGGTAGCGGCAGTGACGAAGCACCGAGCATCGTCCGCCATCGTGTCGGCTCCGCGTCTAACCAAAAGGCCAATGAACTCAACCGGCAGGTCCTCCGCCGTATCACCACAAATTCCAAGAAGAGTCGAGGTAAGAACATCATAAGGTACCCCTAGATCCAAGAGCTGCGCTCCCACTTCAACGTACGAGGCCAAGTCGAGACGACCGGTGCGAATAAGCGCCTGGAATGCCCCGAGTACTAGAGGTTCCGGGATCCCTTTCGTAGCCAACGCCTCGATGCCCTCTGGGTATCCATCGGTGACCGCGTGGAATAGAGCGTTCTCCGCCAGCTTCCAGTCGATTTCTTCATCCTCAAGCATTGACTCCAACAGCCGCAAGTCGCGGCTTTTGACGGCATGTATCAGATTCCGGGCCTTGGTTTCCGGGACCACGCCGTAAGATAGAAGGACTTTTGCGATGTCTGTCCTTGTCGACCCTTTCGGAAGAGTAAGTGCGGTTTCGAAGCCCCGGGATGTAGTCCGTGGCAGTACTGCTCCCTTGCTACCGCCCAGGAGGGCCCTGACAATACCAACTCTACCGCAGGCGACAGCCCGGACCAAGATCTGACCATCTTCATAGTCCACCGAAGCCCCACGTCCGAGGAGCAAAGAAACCAACTCCATATCAACATCGTCCTCCTCCACGATTACCGCAAGGGCTTCATTCTGCCCGATGTCAGACGTCGATTCCTCCAGTACAACCTCACACAGTGCCATCCGGTCAGCACGCTTCCGCAAAGTAAGCGCCGCGTTCAGGGTAGCAGACCGCGCGTCCGTATCCGCAGGGACCCTGCTGAGAAGCAATCGTATCAACTCCAGATCCAGAGCCGGCTCTTGGACAAGAGCGGCAACGCCCTGCCTCTCCCCAATCGTACCCGGGGCTGATTTCCCAAACAGAAGTCGACACAACGCCAGTCGGCTGGCACCGCGGTGACCCTTGAGCGCAACTCCCAGAACGACGGATAGCGCCGCGGCGTCGGGTGGTTTCTCGAGCAGAAGCTGTACCAGTTGTAGATCAACATCCGTCTCAGCAACAACGGCTGCCAAAGCCTCGGGCTCGCCAGCGTCACCAGTCGATGCTCCGACAATCAGCTCGCATGATGCTATCCGGGAATTCCGTGGCCGTATGGCAAGACTGACCCCGAGCGTCTTGGATAGTATGGCAGGATTCAGGGGTTTCTGGAGAAGCAGGCGGAGCAAATCCAGATCTGGATCGGCCTCTCGCACAACCATTGCCAGACTCTCGGCTGTGACGATGCTATCCTTGCTTGCATTGATAAGAAGTTCGCATATTGCCATCCTCGCTTGTCGTTGTTGGGCACTGAGAGCCACCATCAGGGCTCCGGAAAGGGAGGAAGCGCTTTGCGCTTTGCTCAGCAAAAGGTGGATCAAGTCCATGTCTGGATATGACTCCTTGATGACTGTCAGAAGTGCCTCGCCCTCACCAACACCCTCTCGCGATGCCCCAACGATAAGCTTGCAGATGACCATCCGGGTGTCGCGCGGCTGCACATGAAGGGCAGCCTTCAAACCATTAGCCAAGGTAACGGTATCAGGGCTTTTCTCCAGCAGCCGCTCAACGACGTCAACACGCCCCTGGGATGCGCAGGTAGCCAATGCCGACTTGTTCCCGACATTGATGTCAGCGCCATGGCTCACTAGGAGATTGAGAATCTCCACGCACTCCGGGTGTCGGTCACGCTCCGGCCTCGTGAGCATGTCGTTGAGCAAACCCCCGTATTCCAATCGTGATGCTGCCGCGAGAAAAACCGCTGCCTTTTCTCTGTCGAAGGAGGTATAGAGCGTTTTAAACAAGGCGGTCCTAATATCTTTCTCTGGAATGCTGCCATCTTCGCAAAGGAGCTGTAA